TTCTACAAAGCTTCTGGCAAGACCTGGTGAAAATTTAGCATATCCTCTTGCATGTAGTTTATTGCTATTATTTTTACTTAATGTGCGCATAATAATTTCTCTAAACATTGTTGTTTTTTGTTTTCTAGCTCCCCAGCTCTATTGCTTGCCCCCAAAAAAGCTAGAACAAATATATGTTCCTCAGAGAAACGCTGCTTGGAATCAAAGAAGGTCAGTACTCATCAACGAACATACATAACCAAAAATCTTGTATTCCTTTGGACATTTAATTTTAAACTGCTGAAAAGCAGAATGTAGACGTTGAGCTGTTTCTCATGCTTTCAGATTCCTCACACTGGCTGCCATCTTTTTCATATTCTATGCTATGCTAATACACTTTTCTTGACCATAGATCCACTGTGTGAAGAACTTATTTTTCTGGCTTAAGAATTGATTGACTATTTCTTCATTGTTGGACATAATTGATGCCAAAACATTGTTTCTTAGAGACTTTATGTTAAAGATACATATTCTATTTGGATTATTCAATGAAGGATTTTTTTTATTTAAATAACGGATATCTAAATTTTAACCTTATCTTTTCGGTTGCCTTTTGAATTTGGAAACGTATTTTGTGGCTCTAGTTAATTTTGTCTTACTCTCCGAATTTATATCCGAGCTTAGATTGCAATCTTTGGCTATAGTTTTCTGTATTCTGGTGCATTCTTTTTTATGGTACAAGATTTCAAACAAATTGAAAGATTCTTTACATTGTAGTTTTCGTTGAACTTCAAGCTGCCCAAAGTTTATATTTAGAACCTTACTTTTTAAGTTATTCTGCCTTAAGGTGCATTTTTATTTTTACCTTTTTCAATTGAACATGATGTCACATATAGTTCTTTGTTTTTGTTGAATAATAAAATGTTTTTTTATTAATGATAAGGTGGCTAATGGATTTTTTTATTTGTTTCATGTTCTGAATTGAGTAATGGTTTTGTAGGTGAACCCAGATGCTTCGCTGTACGCAGTGTTTTGAAGGATGCTCAAAACCATACCCTCATCTGAAGTCCAGGTTGCCCCCTTCTTCTTCCTCATTATTTGATTTCCACCAATTGTTAACAAGTTTGATCAAATAAAATACATTATCTGATCAACGTTCCTTTTAATTTTGTAGATACATTGTTGTGTTTGATCCTTTGGATGGATCCTCAAACATTGACTGCGAAGTTTCTATTTGAACTGTATGAATTTTAACTTCAAATTGTCAAACAAAATTGTTGCATTTAAAAACTGAAAACATTACAATAACTGTCAGCATTTTCTGTTGCACATAGATCTTTGGAATTTACATGGTAAAGAATGAGGCTAAAGTAAGTCTTGAAGATGCAATGCAACTTGGAAACCAAATGCTAGCAGCAGGTTACTGCATGTATGGAAGCTCTTGCACGGTAAAACAGACAAAATCTGTGAAACACGACTTGTATAACTATTAAAAAAAATATTTCCTTTTCACAATGAATTTCAAGGTTGTCCTGTTTTTCTTATACAAACATAATTGGAAGTTCCCTATTTTTCTAGTCATGAATATATGTGATTGGTATTGATGAAGCACAATTCTTCGAAGACCTTTATGAATTCTGCCGTAAAGCTGCTGATGATGATGGAAAAACAATAATAGTTTCAGGATTATATGGGAACACATGAGGTAATACTATATAGATTTAAAATGCCCCTTCTATTTGGTGGGGTTGAAATAAAGCCAAACTTTTAGATGATTTTGAAAGTGTTCATAATAAGTTTTATGTTGTTGGTCATATGTATTTTGATTTTATGAAGAATATTGCTAACACTGTTGCAATTATTGATTTAAATATATTTTTCCTCATTCTAATATTCTTGGTTTAGCATTTGTCATTGATTCTATTAATATAACTGCTGTTAGTAATGTTGATTCGTGTTCATATTTAGATGCATTTTTTTATAATGAAGTTGATTCTATACTTTTAAGAATAACAACTCTTCAGTGTTAAAGATTTGAAAGTATGTTACAGATTTGGATTTTAGTTCTAATACTGCTGATATTCATGTGGATGCAGATTATTTTTGTTACTTGCTCTAGTCATTTTTTACCCATTTTAGTTTTTTTTTAGAGTTCTCTTCATTTTGTATCATAGGTTTAAAGAGGACTTGGAAACAATCTCATGTTAATGAATATTTAATATATACATACTTGATTTGTTCCTTTTAATATTAACATGCTAAGTATCATATTTTTCACTTTTTAAATAAATTTTTCTATTATAGGTATCTTTATTGACATCACAAGTCAATGAAATGACGGCAATGATGACATTTTTGTTTCAACGATCATTGATAATAATTCTTAAATTTATTTGTATGATTTTTTTATTAAATATATTATCAACTAACTATTATGTTATATTGTAGGTATGTGATTAAGGGAGTATGCCAAACAATGGATGTAATGAAGAAGAAAAAAATTAGATATTGTTATTGAATATCTTTTAGTCATATTTTTAGTATTAAAAATTTGTATTGAACATCTATATTGAACATATGTAAATATGTAATGAACATCTTTCATTTTAATTTTTATATATGAACAATTAATTGTATGAATGATATTAGGTTGAACAATGTAATTTATTTTATATAATATTAATCAATTTTATTTCATATTAATTTATTGTTTGTTTTGTTTTGTCAATAAAACCACTTTTACAATAATCCAATTTTATTACGAAAAAAAGTGAAAAAAAATGAGTTGTATACATTTTCGGCGGTTTTAAAACCTCGGTTAACTAAACTATGCAAAATAGGGGCGTTTTGAGAGAACCTCAACTAGTTCCAGCGGTTTTTGAGTAACTCCGCTAATACCGGCGGTTTTCAAAAAAAACCCTGGAAATTCCGGCGGTTTTCAGAAACCCTCGCTAATATTGGCGGTTTTTTACTAAACCGCCGGTACTTATTTAGCGACGTAGGTTTTTCAGCGATTTTTCCAACCGCGGGAAATGCGTTTTCCGGGAGTTAAAACCATCGGTAACTTCAAAAATAACCCCCGGAAAAATTACAAATTTTTGTAGTGAATCTTACTTTCATAACAAATAAATTCATACTATTTGGTAATAAATTATATTACAAACAAATACTACATTTAAAAATAAATTTATTTTATTAAATTATAATTTTTTACTTTTTAAAAATTTATTTTAATAATTATTTTAAAATTTTTATTCTTTATAAACATTTTTACAATTAAATATAACATTAACAAATATCATTTTATATTACTTTAATAACTAGGGGCATTTTGGTAATATTTAATTTCTACAAATTAAACAAATTTTTTAAATCTATCACATCAATCAAATCCTATACTAATTTTCACAAACTTTACTTCCAAATTCACTCTCAATTATCCACAAATTCACTCAAAAAAACAATAAAAAAATTACCCTTAAATCCATTCAATTACTCTTCCCAAATAATCTCCCACAAATCATGTGAACACACCCTTAGTTGCATTAATTTCTCCTACTTTATTGCCATGTTGTTTCTAAATCAATTTTACATTTGCTTTCCTGGAAGGCTTCTAAATAAGCCAAACTATTTTATCTTAATATACAATTCCTTTTTCTCAAATATGGTGTGTCATTCCTTTAAGTTTGATAAGAAGACTTACTTCCAACATTAAAAAAAAAACTCATAAAAATTCTAATATTAATGAATAGCAAGTGACTTACTAACGTAGCAAAATTTACTATATATTAATAAGTTTGTCAATACATTACTTATCATGACATTAGAACTCTCATAATTTATTGTCATTAATATTCTTTCATTAGTGTAATTCCTGATGTGGAAAGGATTGATAACTCACTTTAATCTATAGTTAATACACTGATTACATATTGAAACTAAAGAAACCGACATAATCTATTTTATCACCTTTTATAGTAGATGAAAAGAAAGTATTTATATTTTTTAAATTTTATTTGTTTTTGAAGAAATTGTAGGTAGTTAATATTTGTTATGACTAAACCCACAATCATGGCACCACGTATATACAAAGTCTTACACCATATTTATATTTAGAAAATTTTCCACTTAACACAAGTTTGAGGAAAATAAGAGTTATAGGAAGAGCAAATTTCCAATGCTAAGATTTAGCAACTGTCTTTTCTTAGTTTCTATTGTCTGTGAAATAAATAAAAACAGTGGAAATAAAATAACCTTTTGAAAAATGTTTGTGCTTCAAAGTACCAAATTTTTACTGATTTATTGGAGATTTTTTTTTTAATCACTAATGCATTTTAGCTATTATTTATGACGGACTTGTTATTTTACTGAAAAATAAATCTTTCAATAATATTGAATTAGTTAGAAATAAAAAACCAGGATAATAATATGTGCAAATAACATCTTGTACTGGTAAAATAATTAAAGAGGAATAATATTATATAATATTCTACATGGAATATTTTAGAGTTCATCTCTATATTTTCCATATCAAACATGGATATCTTGTTTATACTCCCTCTCTGAAATGTGAAATTCAGTTTAACTTATAATCACATCAAGGTTCTTAGTCAAACACAAATAATAAGGCCTTCAGAAGTTAACTGAATTTCCTGATTATTAAATAATAACTCTTTCATTCGTATTTGAAGCAAAGAAAAAAAATGATCACAATTTATCATTTTTGAGTAATAATGACTTTTCAAGTTTTTCAAAACCCAATGGCCATTTAGGGTGAATCCATGGTGGTCACATATATATATAGCAGCTGGTGCTCGTCTCATATGCTGACAGATAACAAAATCGAAATAGCTACTCCAATACTCCACCATATCTTTTTCCCTGCTGCACTATTCTGTAAAACAAAAAATAAACATTAAGATATTATTAATGAAAGCTATTATTAAATAATAACAACAACATTTTCATAAGGTTTGTGAGAAGTTAATGCATGATGTAGTTTAAGTTGGGGGATTACCGCAATGGGAGGTGGTGATTTCAAAGGAGGAGATGGCGGTGGTAAAACCTTGGCGATTGGTAATTTTGCAGGAGCTAATGATGATGGTTTAACTCGTGGAGTTGGTAGTTTCACTGGAGGAGATATTGGAGCTGTAACTATGGGATCAGGATATGGAAAAGGATCAGATATTGGAAATGCAGTCACTGGAACCGGCGATTCAACAGGAGCAAATGCTGGAGATATAGCTTCAGGAACTGGTAATTTCACCGGAGCAAGTGTTGGAGATATAATCTTTGGAACCGGTAGTTTTACAGGAGCAGATATTGGAGATATAGCCCTGGGAACTGGTGATTTTACAGGAGCAGATTTTGGAGAAACAGGCTTAGGAACAGGTGTTTTAACAGGAGCAGATGTTGGAGATGTAGTTTTTGGATGTGGTGATTTAACAGGAGCAGATGTTGGAGATATGGTTTTAGGAACTGGTGTTTTAACAGGAGCAGATTTGGGAGATGTTGTCTTAGGAACTGGTGTTTTGACAGGAGCAGATGTCGGAGATGTGGTCTTAGGAACTGGTGTTTTGACAGGAGCAGGAGCAGATATTGGGGATGCAATCTTAGGAAGTGGTGTTTTAACAGGAGCAGATGTGGGAGATGTAGTTTTAGGAAGTGGTGTTTTAACAGGAGCAGATGTTGGAGATGTAGTTTTAGGAAGTGGTGTTTTAACAGGAGCAGATGTTGGAGATGTAATCTTGGGAAGTGGTGTTTTGACAGGAGCAGATGTTGGAGATGTAGCCTTAGGAAATGGTGATTTAACAGGAACAGGAACAGATGATGTTGGAGATGCAACCTTAGGAAGTGGTGGTTTAACAGTTGCTGGTGCAGTTGCAGGTGGGTGAGTTATGGTTGGTGATTTGTTTGCAGAAGAAGTGGGAGAAGATGATGCTGTTATTGGTGCAGTTGGGGTTGAAGTTGGCAACTTTGATGGAGCATGTCCTTGTGTTTGGGCACTTGTTGAGGCTAGTGAGAAGCAAAGACAGCCCAAAGCAAGTGCCCAGAACATTGGAGCCATTGTTGGATATGATTTGGTACAAAGATTTGGGTTGTTGATTATTTATATGGTATGGTGCATGTTTATGAGTTATGGTTGAGACTCATATGTTAATGAGAATGCAATTTTACCTATCATATCTACATGTGACCTATATGTTAGTACCAGGTCTCATATTCTGTTAATATCTGATGAACCAACATACCAAGGTGATGTTTTCTCCTCACTACAGACATATTTCCAACAGGAATGGTGCTTATCTTTTTCTTATTCATATTTTCTCCTCAAAAATATGAACGAACATGTGAAATAAAAAATATGAATGAACATGTGAAATAAAAAATATACATTACTGTCTTTCTTTAAGCATCCTATCATCTGGTTAAGGGAATTGTTAATGTTTTTTACAATATTTATCTCAACCTAAAACGAAATTAGATAGGAGACAAATGTAAGGAATTTGTTCATTTTATTGTTGGTATTTAAAAAAAAGTTCAGGAATACATGTTCTAAATATGGTAGAAAAGCATAATGTCCAAGCATTTTTCTTATACATATGTTAGTTTTGGAAAAGAAATGTACTTATTTTAAACTGATATTTTAAGATATATCGAGGTTTTTTTATTATCAAACTTTTAATGTTAAAATGATGTTACATCTACTTGACTCTTTTTCTATTGCAAATATATTTATTGTTCTTCCTTCCAAATTATTTACTGATTTTTAAACACAGATTGAGAATAACAATAAATATAAACTTTTTTTTAATACAATTTTAACAAAATAGTCTTATTCTTATAATATGGTATGCATAAAGTATAATTTAATTATAAAGTTTATTTTTCTTTAATTAGAAAGAGTCTTTATCAACTTATTACAATATCCAAATGAGATTTATTTATTTTAAAAATCCTTATTTTCATAATTAGATTATAAATTTGTAGTTGTTTTGGATAATCGGACGCGAACTATTAGTTGAATTTATACTAATAATTAATCTCAACCAAAGAATATAGTTAACTGTTTTTAGTCACATGTCTTACCTAATTCTTTTTCTTCAATTATAAAGTTAAATTCACTTTCAATCATACAATAACATCTAATTTTCTTTGATGATTATACACTGTATCTCATATCAATCTGTACTAAGATATTAATTATCATCATTATTGTTATACCTGTAAAAATAGTTCTATTATTAAAAACACTATTATTGCAAAAAGATTAATATGAAAAATGCAATAATTTGTAATATTAATGGTTTAGTCATCATCCAATTTAATCAAGATTCCAATGATCGTGAAATTAGTTGTTCCTGGAGTTAAAAGTTTAGTATGTTTACAAAAATACACTTCACAAAGGTGATTTCTGGATTATTTACCTTCGGGAAAAGTTTTTCGAAATTTCTAGAATAAAAGTTATCAAATAAAATTTCCAAAGCATAATTTCTAGAACAAGTTTTTTGGAATATATAAAATTGATTTTAAAATGACTTTTTTGGAATATAAAAAATTGATTTTAAAATTAGTTTTCTCCAAATTCTCTTTCCCCTTAAATCCTTCACCTCCCATCACATAGGGGAGGGGGATTCGGCCTTCAATTTTCAATCCTACACAACTTTATCAAAAAGAAGAAAATGAAACAAAAAGTGAGAAAGGTGCAGGGTATTTTATGGCTTAAGGAAAGGGAATGTCAAATTAAGGTTTTAGAGTTTTTATTATCTTTTAATAAAGGATAAAATAGAAATATTATAATTTATGGAGGTGCAAGGAGGAAAAAAGAGGAGGTACATGAAGTAGCGGCCGTCAAAATTATATTATTAGCACCAGGCCAGTAAATCCTATAAAAAGAAAAGGAGAGCTCAACTACGATTATCATCTCCCGTTCATTCAAAAAATGTGAAATAAAAAACATAGCTTACAATTTTTTTTTTATTTTTTGTAAATTATTATTTTTTAGATAAAGAGAAAGATAAATAAAATCCGTAGAAAGAGAGATTAATATAATTTACTTTTGTAATATAACAAACAATTGTTTCATCAATTTATAACATCTTAAAAATAAATATTTCGGTGCAATTTCAAACCATTGTAAATCGACACACTTGCTTAGAAAATTTATTTTTTATTTTCTTACATATTAAAAGATCTTTTGTCATGTTTTTTTTTAAAAACTAAGGATGAATGACGATAATGGGACAGGACGAGTTTTGTTATCCCATACTTTTTTTCTTTAATTATTCTCATTTATACACATAATATAAATTTAATGAGTATAATTTTCTTTTTGTCTCATCTCTATTTCCACCATATAATGGATATACTTTCTATTCTGTTCCTATCATACTTGATTTCTTAATGTTTTAATATTAATTAATTATTTTTTTATGAAATTATAAAATATTCTTAAAAAATACATGATATTATCAAATATTAAATATCAAAAAACATATAATTGTTTCTTCAACATCAAATATTTAGAAAAAAATTATAGTTATATACATGTCAAATGGGAGTATCAAATAAAATTTCATGAAAATTAAAATATTTATTAAACTTGTAAAAGTTAATGAAACAAAATTGATAAAATTTAAAAATATTTTTTAAAAATTACAAAAAAAATCTTCAAATTTAAAAATATAAATTATAATGAAATATCTATTTTTATATGTTAGTAAAAATTATAATACATCACTTTAATGAAATCACACAAAGAACAAACATTAAATTATAATAATTAAAATTTAATATAAATATTTCATCTATTGAACTTCAATATATGTTGGATGATAATAAAAAATATTCATAACAATAATATTAAAATATTATAATAATATACAATTTTTTATACAATTCTAGTGATAGAATACATAATGAGTTAGAAAATAAAAATAATTATATAAAAAATATAACAATATTATTTTACATTATAAAAACAACCCACAAAATAAAAATATTAGAAATAAATAAAAATAATTAAATTTGTTTTAGAATCAACTTGATACTTATTAAATAAAATCGCATAAAAGAAAACAAATATATAATTAAGAATATAATAAGATCAGTTAGAGATATAAGAAAACTTTTCATATATAAAATTAGTCAAACTGTTGAAAGACAATGAATGTTATTTTAGCAAAGTATTAAAAAGTTCTTAAAATGAATCAAAAATAAAAAAATAGAGAATAAAAAGAGATAACTTATATTACTTAAGAAATAAAGAATTTATACTAATAAACACTTAAATTGAGTAAATTTTCACAAAAAGTATTTAATTTACACATAATTTAAACATAACAACATAAAAAGTTCTAATAAAATAGAAAATATTTAAAAAATGTAAATTAATTTTATAGTAATGTGTAGCTACTAAAAGAATAAATAAGTTATAAAAATAAAACTAAGAATAATATATATATATATATATATATATATATATTATTACTTAATAAATATACCTAATGAGTATTTTAATAATTTAAACGAAAATAATAATAAAAATGAATATGAGATGGAAACTGATAAAAACTAAGATATCACATTTATGTTTATATATATATTATCCCTACACTCAATTGAAAATATGAGATATTATTCTTAGGATAAACTTTTTTATCAAAACTAGACAAATTCGAACAATACTTGTAATAACAAATTTATTTATTATTCGTAATTGAGAGTTTCAATCCCATTTATTGGAAAATAGAAAAAATAATAATAAATGACGTTGTGCCATGATTGAAACTTTTTGTTTTAAAAAGAAAATGGTTTAAGTAGAAGATAGACGTACATAGGAAATAAAAAATGAAGATGGAGATAACCTCACGCAATGCAAATTGTGATATAATCTTCTTCGTAACAACTCCAAACAAGGGTATGGTTTTGAAATGATGCCATTGTCTATTATGGTTTTGTCAAACCTCATGGGACCATTTATTCTTGTTCAACCACTCTTGTTTTTTTCTTCTTTAAAACTTTCACTTCTTAAAATATCTACAATTCTAAAAATCAAATAACATACTTACGACTAAATAAAATCAAATATGCGCCATCAGTTTTTCAGGATCATCTTTAAGAACTCTGAAAATTCAGAACATACTTTAAACTTTTACAAATAAATTTCTCCAAACAAAACAATGATATATATTTTCATTCGCCTATCTTAATTAAGGGTTTACTCTCCTAAAAATAATATACAAGAATATATATATATATATATATAAATAATAAGGATATAAATCAAAACTAACAAATAATTATTCATGATAGCATATATAGCAAAAAGTTGTGATGGTTCTCTTAATTTTTTCCTAAAACATTAAAAAAAGATATTTATCATTATATACATAATAACAAAAATTCATAAATTAATTCAATTTTATTTCTAACTGTTTACACCACCAATAGTAATTTTTATTTTTTTTAAATCACTATAATGATTTTTCAATGCAAAGTTCCAAAATTCAATTTATATTTTGTATTATTATTTTTTTATCTTCAAAAAATTAAAAGTACCAAATTTAATTTTAAATAATAGAACAAAACTAAATTTCTCATTTCTTCTCCCTTTTAAATCAATTACAACTTATTCTCCAAATTTTAATTAATTCTTTTAATTTTCTTTTTCCTATAATCAATTCCATTTTCTTTTTTTTTCCTTTTTTTATAATTTTTCTTTCCTTCTCACCTAAAAGGATAAAAATTCCATCCATAATTCACGTTTCCAGATACCAAATTCTGAAACCTTTTTTCTCCCCAGAGCTGCAAATTGGTGGTGGGTGAAAATTTGACTATCTGAAATCCTTTAAAAATTTATTTTACCAGTATATCCATTTGATTTAAATTCTTT